TAAGTTTACTGTCTAGTCTAACGCCTAGATAGTTCACTGTCCTCTGAGTCCTTATAAGGTTTCCGCTTACTCGCATCTCTATTTTGGTTGGGATCTGCTTCCCTGTGAACAGAAGTAACTCTGTTTTATGGGTGGCAAGTTCCAATCCTCGAGAGCTGAGCCATGTCTGCGTGCGGATCATGACTTGGGTAAGTCTCTTTTGGGCCTCTACGGTGTTTCTGGCAGTAATAACGGCTGCGATATTGTCGGCATAACCAATTAGGAAAGCGTCTTCAGGCATTTCCAGTCTTAGGATGTCGTCGTAACTGATATTCCACAGGTCTGGTCCCAGGATTGACCCCTGTGCAGCTCCTCCAGTCACTCTATATCGTTTCGTACCAGTCTGTGTGGAGTACAGGAGTATTCGATCCTGCAAATAGCTCCTGATCATATTCATCAGGTACTCCGGTATATGGAAACGATGCTCCAAGGAAGTAAGCATATCGGTTCACCTTACACTATTAAAGGCGTTTTTAACGTCCAGCGTTGCTAGCAGGACCACTGGGCCCGAGTATGCATTTCCTCTTTGCGTAGCTCTGGCTGCCTGAACCACTTCATCGATAGCTCCCATTGTGGATTTTCCAGCTCTGAACACGTGTTGCCTGGGGCTAAGTCCTCCAGAGGCCTCTACTGCGGCGAGTAGTCTGGGTCTTATGAGCTTTTCTAACAGCTTCGCCGCTGTGTTTAGCATACACAATGGGCGATAAGCCGAAGGTGAGTTGGGATCGCCTTTGCCTTTGCCAATGAGCACCAGTCTCTGTTCTTTCCACGCTTCTGGAAATATCCTTTCTTTTAGACATGCGTTATACATCCTAAGGAAAAAAGTAGGCCGTCCTGATGCTATCACCTTCAGTATCTCTGCCGGTATATTATTTGGTCCCGGCGCTTTCTTATTCTTTAGGGAGAGAGCCGCAATCTTGAGTTCTTCCTCGGTGAAATTTGGGACTGAACCATCGAACTCTACGGGTGTTCGCACATGCGTCTCGTGGATGTGTGTTGGAAATAGTGTTTCCACTATGTGATCTATCGTTTCATCATCCACGCTTGGCACTGCTCCGTAGTTTCTCAGCTTCTTCATGACTATCTTGTAGCCAAGTCCCCAAGGATCTTTATTTATATCTTTGCAGAGCTCTTTCCACTTGTCATGCTTACTGCGTGTGATAGGAATCGACAGTTCTTTTCTCGCAATCTTGGCTGCTAACGCTTCCGTCATAAAATTTTCAGAGCGTCGTGCCCTTGTTAGCCTTCTTTTACATTGTATGCATATTTTCCTTTTTTCTGCAATATCGTGGTTCCACCTGTGCGTTTTTGGCATCGAAACGATACACGCTCTTTCCATAGCTGTTAGGCTTCTTTCGACCACTTGCTTCGAGGTCAATGTGCCGTCGAACTGTCGTTCACGTCTATCTAGTTCAGCTAGTAATTTGCCTGTATCCACCTTGCTTATGTCCCATCTGTGGAAAGTCTTTCTTGGGCATGGTGGAGGGGTTTGCTGATTGGTATATATATATGATATATACTCGTGATCACTGCTCGTGAAGTCATCGAGTATCTTCCAGTCCTTTATCCGATCTACGATGTGTTCGGATCCAAAGGTTACGTCCGGTATTGTGCCTTCACATCCCGGCCTATGAAAGGTAGCTCTGCTTCCGCGGTTTGCTACCACTAACCCGGACCTAGCGGCCATATCCATGATTTTCCGTCCTCTAGAGTTAGTAGAGGACATTCCCCAGTCTACTGCTCGTGCATTCAGATCGCCTGCCACAATGAAGGGCTGCCGTCGATCCACGAGCAGATCCTCGACTGCATCCAGTTTATTCTAGAAGCTGTTTATGTCATCGCTAGGAGTTAGGTAGCAACTGACTACTGCGACTTCTCTGAAGCGTGCGTAGACGTAGCAGTTTCCCATCCTGCTTTCTAGTGGCTGTTATCCACTACTACTGGGGATCCATATGGCAGCAGTCTTAGTGTCATCCTCTAACCAGACACCGGTTTCTTTTCGCTTGTATTGCTCACTTATGATCACTACATCGATAGCATGTTCTGCTAATATCTGTGTCAAAAGTGCATCCGCCGTTTTGCTCCGGTGTAGATTACCTTGGAGAATTTTCAACATTTTGCTGTAGTTTGTCGAGTGCTTGGGCATTTCTGCGATCCCGGCATGTGATCAACAGAAGTGCGCCCTGCATCCGTGCAAATGCAGCACTTTGGTGGTTTTGTGCAGTCTTTCATCTTGTGACCTGATTCACCACATTTAATGCAGATGCCACCACCACTTCAGTCCGGTCCTGTACAGTTGGTCTGCAGATGACCGACCCTGAAGCATCTGTAGCATCTGCGGATGGGTTTACACATCCTGGGCCTAGCCCTGACAAAGCCAATTTTAATATCTGAGCCCAGCAATTGGCTTTCTAAAGTTACAAAAGCCCTTACTTGCTCTCGACTGTTTGGTGCAGTGACTATTATGCGCAAGTCCGCTGATGAATTATCAAGGACTTGTCGCACTGCCTCAGCCACCTCAGACTCTACAGTTAGTGAGTCAAGATCTCGGATCTCCACTGTCGCTGTAGGCTTTAACTCGGCTACCGTAGCTGTTTTCTTAACGGTAGCCTTTAGTTTTTCAACCAGCTCTGGTTGTAGCTTTTCCCCTTTGCTCAGTTCTACAAGGAGTGCCTTTTCGTCCCGTTGGATTGTGCTACGTATGTTTCGTAAAACATTTACGTAGCTTTCATCTACGTCCACTTTCAGGTTTTATGAGGACTGCTTCTGTGCGGGGAGGTTTTTTCTTCTCTTTTCTTGTTGGTTGTGCTACTGCTTTCGGCTTCACTGCAGGTGCCGAAGTAGTCTTTTCCGCTCTTTGTTTCGAAGCCCCTTTTCTGGTGACTTTTTGCCACAGATTCTGTTGTCCCTTGCAAAGTTTTTTGTCGGATTCAGACTCTAAGGGGCTAGGGGCCTGTCTCTTTTGAATGGTAGGTGCTTCCACCGTTTCCAAGATCCGTGCCTCTCTCTCTGCTGCTGGTTCTAATTGCTTCTGCTTAGTTGCTTCAGCTTCCAGCTTCTTCCAAGAGCTCCTGCAGTGTCCTAGAATATCGAGCAGTTCGTCTAGGTCGAATACCCCGCTTTTAACATCCAACATGTACTCATGCCTTGGTGAGATTACCGCCTCTGCAGTAGTGCTTAGGACGCCTGTTTCCGCGGTGGCGGTTTTTGGAGTTTCCTCCACACTTCTTGGCGCCTGTGCTACAGGGCTCCTTTGCATTTTTGAGCTTTTGCCAAAGCCCAATCTTGGGTCCGTGAAACGAGCCTCACTCTCTTCTTGTGGTGTTCCACTGATAATTATACTCATTCACGAAAGTGAATCAGTATATTGGTTTTGTGCAATGTCCGTCTTGCTGTCCGTCTGTCCGTCCGTCCGTCTGTCCGTATGAACGCAATCTATTTCGGCGCTATTGAAGCTAGAGACTCGAAATTTGGAACACATACTCGTGTATATCTCCGATTTATAAAGTGTTAAAATTTTCCCGATCCGGCCACTAGGGGCGTGGCAAATCGGAAAATGCATTTTCCGATATACCAGAAATCATGTTTGTTGAAGGTCTAGAAAGCTGAAATTTGGTATGTAGGTCCGCGTTGACCACCCAAGATCACGAGCTATGGCGGATATATCTACGCTCATTGGGGGCGTGGCAAATCGGATAAAACTGTATCTCCTAAAGTTGTAAACCTAGAATGCTGAAATTTTGCACGTCAGCTAATGGTATGATTCTATAAAGTCTGAAGATAAATTATAATTCTACGCCCATTGGGGGCGTGGCAAATCGGACCTGAAGATATAGTGATTTTTTAAATTCTCCTATATTTTGGACACTATTGATGGCAGAGACCTCAAATTTTGTATATATACTCGGACTGATCACCCAAGACCAAAAAGTTTTGTCGGATATATGTCCGCTCACAGGGGGCGTGGCAAACCGCAAAAACCTGTATATTCTACAATATTAGAGCGAAACTTAACTACTAAATTGTTGATGGGATGTGAATGAGTATTCCGCAGTCGGTAACGCCCGACTGCAACGTTCTTAATTGTTTTTTTTGTTATAGGGGTCTTTCGAGATTCCATGTTTAAGGGTCCCGACTCCAAGCCGCTATCTTTGATCGGATGTACAGTCACTCAAGCGATCCTCATGGTTGTCTGTGCGTAGCAGGGAGGTCATGCGAGGGTTGACGTTGGTCCTTATGGGAGCCAATGTTCAGAGCCAGGATCTTGCACGAATTAAGGATGTATATCAACTTAGACCTGTACCACCAATGAAAATTCAGTTGGTGACGATCTTCGAACGTACTTGGAGGCATGCCAGAGTATTAACGGGACGGGGGCAGCTGCAGCATTGACCCAGGAGCCATTTCCGCAGGATGTCACTCCTGCTTACTGAGGTCCTAGAATGCAGCACCTGTCAACCCAGGAGCAAACATTTCCAAAATCGTGTGTTTTTTCGTAGTCAAGGGTCACTTTAGTAAGTTCCATCTTTCTATTTCTTCTAAGGTCACTGCACACATTAGTTCACGATTGGTCGGCTGCCCAATCGCTATCCAGTGGGGCTGATCGTGGAGGCTGTGTGTCAACTTGAATTACCAGGGACAAGGATTGCTATTGAAGGTCTCTAGATGAGCAACGTAGCGTTGCCTTGTTTTCGTAACCCCACGCATATTAGAGCTGTCAAACTACATATCAATAATTTCGATGGTTTTACAACAAATATTTAATAGTATCGATGGTGCTATCGAAAATATTTTTAAATTCAAAAACAAACTAAATAAGTTTATATTTAACAATAAAAATAAAGATTATAATAAACATTTCATTTGTTTATAATAATGAGATCCTTCATGGACTGTAACATAACAAAACAAGTTTTAATTGAATTAAAATTAAATTTATGGCTATTAGTCTTCTGCAAAGATTTAAGAATTGTGATGAAGAAAAAGAAGTCCATATGCTTAGCTTTTAAGGCAGCTCGTCGTTCCCTTTTAATCTGTCCAGCTTTGCTGAACAATCGCTCTGACTCCGTGGATGAAGCAGAAATGCACAAAAATTTTGTAATAACATCTTTTATTCTACTTTCATTATGCTGCAAACGCGTAAAAATATAAGATTTTTGAATGTTGTAGTGTGGAGTCGTCAGATAAGTGAGGAGGACACAGAAATCTGTTAATAGCATAATCGGGCTCTGTGGGGGAGGAGCAATCCTGTTAATGGGATCTGGCATTAACATTGAAGAACATTTTTTTAACCTACATACCTGCCAATATTTGAGGGGATCAACATCTCCCAAGGAGTGATGTTTCCCAATATATTGGTGGAAATCAACTATTGCAGCGGAGCGCTTGATCTTAGGCAAATTTTCTATGCATATTGGTATTTACATGAATAAGTTCCTCAATCAAAAGTTTTTCAGCATTTGTGGCTTTGCGAACGAAAACCTGTTTTTTAAACCGGATCAAGCAATGTTGAAATGCTAATTACTGAGCGTTCTTCATACTTGTACAGTCTTTTGGTTACGCAATCAATTACGCAATCAAACGCTTCTTCTGCAGCTGCATGGCCTTTCTCAGTTGTTCTTCGGGTGATCCACTGCCACCAACCAAATTTATTGCATCTAGGGAAAAAATGTGAAGATTAAATTTTGTAATTAAATCGGCAATTAATTAAATAATACTTACCAATTAATACGTCATAGAAAGCGCTCTCTTCTTTCAAGGCAGCTTTGCCTTGAACGCCATCAACATTGTATGCTAACACAACCGGATTAGCCATAATATTTTTTAGGTTTTTCAAAATCCAGCCATAATATGGATCCTAATCGCATCAATCTATAAACGATGTATGAATTAGGATTTAAGAAACAATTGAAACTGTGTTTATACTAACATAAAGCTCTTGGTTTGTGTTGTTTATTTCCGTATTTATTTCCTTAAGGGCTTCTACGGTCTGGATAGGAAATTGTTTACCCACTTTTTGTCCTTGTCCCTGCTGCTTTGTAAGTCCTTTTATGGTGGCAGTCTGCTCGGAGGAAGCTTCCACAAGGACCCCGATCTTTTCGTGTGTTACTTTTTGGTCAGCTAAATTTTAATATATTTAAATTGAATATATATAGGTATGAATATTTAACTAAAAACTCATTAAATCATACTTATACCTCTTAACAAATGAATTTCTTCTACAAGAATATCCAGTTTTTCCTGAACCACTTTCGTTTCGGCTGAAAAATAAGTAAATAAATTTATTAGATCATTTTAAACAAGTAAGAAGAGTCTAGTCGAGACTGCTCGACTAGGAGATACCCTGAACCCTCTAATCTGATATTCTAATCACTCTGCACTCCATTTCGGCACACATACATACAAACGAACGTATTAGAACGTGATCTGCTAACTGCGCAGTAAGCAGCGACTGCGCTTGGGTTGCGCTGCAGTGTGGGCAACATTATAAGAATTTATTTGTTGAATAATTTAATTTATAGACGTACAATCTTAATATAACTTTCACAGAGTAAGCATATGGTAAAAATGTATGTACATTCCAAAGCACAAGTCTCTAGTACTTGAAATACGCTTTTTACAAAAGTGATGGTGAGGGGGTGAATGTAAGGGTGGGGGCAAATTACAACAAAAACCAAAATCATGTAAAATACATATAAGTCTACGTTTAAATTTTTGAAGCTCTAGCTCTAAAGGTGTAGGAGATATAATTAAATAACTAGCTTTCGAAAAGGTTTTTAATCGATAATAAAATATCGGGAGTAGTTATCGATATATAGAGAAAAACTTGATATGCGCGTAATATACACGGACCTAGGAAAAAAAATTCTCTAGCTCTGATATCTTCTGAGATCGACGCGTTCATACATACGGACGGACGGACGGACAGACATTGAAAATGGGATATCAGGGTATAATGGTTTTGTGAAAAGTATGTAACAGGCAGAAGGAGGCGTGTCAGACCCCATAAAGTATATATATTCTTGATCAGCGTGACGAGCTGAGTCGATATAGCCCTGTCCGTCCGTCCGTCCGTATGAGCAAAAGGATCTCAGAAAATATAAGAGCTAGAGAGCTGAAATTGGGCATGCATACTCGTGTATACCATAGGCAGTACAAGTTTATCATATTTTTTCGATAACTCATCCGATAACTTTTTATCGAGAATAATTGAAAAATCGACTTGGCTTTTTCGGCCTAACTTGAACACTTTTAGACCTGGAGACTTCAAATTTGCGTTGTACATAATGTTAATGGATACAAAGATTTTGTAACTTACAGATTTTGGATACCACGCCTCCTTCGCCCCCAATTTGTAAAAAACGCATTTTAAGCATTTTTGTGGCCCTCTAGTACTGGTAACTGGTTCGTAGCTAGTGAAATGACTACTTACTAGGGTACCACCATTACTTACTTTGCTGACCCTAAGCAATGCATTTCATCATTTCGTTTTTTGTATGAAATGTCCGCAAAAAGGGTCAATCGCCACCTCCAGTACTACAGGGTGTTTTTGCAGCGGCTGGATTGGGAGCATGGTTTCCAGCTGCCGCCTAGAAGGCTGTAACGCCATTTGATCAGCACTAGTGCGTTTTGCCAGCTGATGCTGTCGCTCTAGTTGTTGTTGCTGCTTCTGCTGTTGCCGCACCTTTTGATGCAATCTAGTGGCGAATGCGCTCTTAAATTTAGGCGTTTCCAAGCGCAGTTCCATAATATGTGGAACACCCTCGTCGCTATCGTCTGGCCGCATTTCAATGCAGCGCCTTTTCAAAGGCGACTGCCATTTTGCATTCGTATATAAATTTTTTGGTTTAGTTGTTGCTGTTGACATATGTATGAGGTTGTATTGGCAGCGGCAGTTCATGTGATAACAAAGCTGGCACACTAGTGAGCCACCTTTGTACTTTGGGTGCATTTTCACAGTTCGTTTTCTATTCGTGTTCGTGTTGGTGATTTTGTTGTTGTTGTTGTTGTGCGCTTGCTGGCTCAGCGCTTGTCATTTTGCAGCTTCTGGTACAGTTGTCAAATTTGTCGCTGGTGTGCGTGCGTGTGTGTGTTTGAGAGAGCGTGCTCGTTTGATTTGTTGTCAGAGCAGTGTCATCTGTGTTTAGCGCCAGAGTGTTGTTGTTTTTTCTGTTTCTATATTGGCCGTCGTCGTCGGCGTTCGTCATGTCATTGCTTTCTCGTGTGTGTGATTGTGTGCGCTTGCATGGGGTTGTGTGGCAAAGTGTTTTTGGCATTATTGGCGGCAAGTAGGTGAGAGTGCGCGTGAGTGCGATTGTGAGAGTGAGCGTGAGAGTGCGCGACTGTTTTTGCTGTAGCGCGTGCTTCCGTGTGCGTGTGTATTTGCGCACGTACACTGTTCACAATGATTGCGCTTTAACTGTCGCTTTCTCTGGATTCCAGCACAGAGATGCCGTAATGCAATAGTGTGTGTGATTTTGTTGGCGCTTTTTTCGTTATAGCGTCGCTAGTGGGAGTAGAAGTACAAGAGTACTCACCTCTAGCGATCTTGTCCGCCGCCACTTGGGTAAATATGACGGTAATCATCTTTGGCGGCACCTCCTCAACTAGAGTCGGTGTTGCCGGCGCCTCTACACAAAAAAGGTTGAGCCCAGAAAAAAAGACAAAAAATCGACAGAATTTTTTAAAAAGGACAAAAAAACCGGACAAACAATAAAAAAAAAAAAAAACAAAAGAGGTTCAATAAATTTTTATATATTTTCATTTAAATTATATAAAACTGAGTCAAAAGTTTCGTTATCAACATCCGTCTCATTTGTTCCGATCATACTCAAATATTTATCGGGAAGTTGATAATTTTGGCAACATGTGCCACGTCGACGTGATCCGAGCCTGAATACAAAAAGAAATTGTAAATTTATTATAATATATACATATGTACAAAAATATTTCTTAACAAATAAAAACTTACCTAACTGTCAAAATCGAATTTAATGTATCAATATGAAGCCTGTTTCTTAGCGTTGTTTTGACCAAATTAACTTGGCTAAACACCCGCTCGACTTCGGCGTTCGACCATGGCAACGAGAGTAAATTTATTGCAAATAAAGACAAACTTTCAAATTGTTGCCCGCAGAATCCATATGCTTATTGACCTCAGTCCAAAACGATACGGTATCCTCTTGATTTTTCCATTGGACAAGGTGAACTGTATTATATTGATATACAATTTTCTCAATTTCTTCTGCATTGACTGCAAATAACTCCAATATTTGAATTATTTGGTCTTCATTTCCTCACAATATATTTTGAACAGAAAATGCCTTTTTTTTTCAAAATTTCAAAGTTATCTGGCAATCTGAAAATAATTATATTCGATTTAATTTACAAATATAATGCAATAAGAATTGTCATACCTATGTTTTAGTGGAGAAATCAATTCAACGAAGTCAGCGCAATGTTGGCGAATACTCATCTCTGCGATGTCCTCAATACCTTTTTTATACTCATTCACGAAAGTGAATCAGTATATTGGTTTTGTGCAATGTCCGTCTTGCTGTCCGTCCGTCTGTCCGTCCGTCCGTCTGTCCGTCTGTCCGTATGAACGCAATCTATTTCGGCGCTATTGAAGCTAGAGACTTGAAATTTGGAACACATACTCGTGTATATCTCCGATTTATAGTGTTAAAATTTTCCCGATCCGCCCACTAGGGGCGCGGCAAATCGGAAAATGCATTTTCCGATATACCAAAAATCATGTTAGTTAAAGAGCTAGAAAGCTGAAGTTTGGTATGTAGGTCCGCGTTGACCACCCAAGATCACGAGCTATGGCGGATATATCTACGCTCATTGGGGGCGTGGCAAATCGGATAAAACTGTATCTCCTAAAGTTGTAAACCTAGAATGCTGAAATTTTGCACGTCAGCTAATGGTATGATTCTATAAAGTCTAAAAGTCTACGCCCATTGGGGGCGTGGCAAATCGGACCTGAAGATATAGTGATTTTTTAAATTCTCCTATATTTTGGACCCTATTGATGGCAGAGACCTCAAATTTGGTATATATACTCGGACTGATCACCCAAGACCAAAAAGCTTTGTCGGATATATGTCCGCCCACAGGGGGCGTGGCAAACCGCAAAAGTTTATATATCCTAAAGTATAAAAGCTAGAAGCTTCAAATTTGGATAGTTGAGTTACTGGTAGCCTCCTCTATCGATTCCCCAAAAATAATTTTTACGCCTCTTTAGGGGTGTGGCATATCGAAAAATACCCTGTAATTTTCACATTTTTTGAGGGTAAGCATTCAAACTTTGCAGTTAGGGTACCGTTATGTCTGGCAAATCGGAAAAACCTGTATATTCTATAGTATTAGAGCGAAACTTAACTACTAAATTGTTGATGGGATGTGAATGAGTATTCCGCAGTCGGTAACGCCCGACTGCAACGTTCTTACTTGTTTTTACTTATTAAATGTGACTCGAACTCGTATCCCAAATATAAATCGCGTTGTATATAAAGTTCCAAATCATCTTCCAAAATATCGATTTGGAAATCGGGCGGAATTACTTTTGTTTTTAGGAAATTAATTCCAAAAATTAAGTCTCCCAGTAATTTTGTGGGGTTTGATTTATTTTATTGGAAGTTTTTGTTTATACGCTGCATAACTTCCAGAATAGGCTTTAAAAATAGTAGGTACAGGTAATTGACCTCATTGTATACATCACATAAAATTGAAGCTTTGTGACACTTTTCTGTTACCGCTGCGGTATTAAAATGCAGCTTTAATTTATTCCATTGGCTTAAAATTCGTTTAACAGCATGTTCAATTGAAAGCCACCTCGTGTCGCATACTCTAGGGACCTTAAGGGGTTCCTGAATAAAAAAAAAAAAACATTATATGCGAGAACCAAAATTAATTGTATTACATTCACAATAAGTTGAATTATTTAAAATAAAACATTTACTTGGGACAAGTTTCAGGACAACATATACTTTTAGTACGTGGTTAAAATGTAACACAAACACACAAATTAATAATCTGGAAGAATAATGTTATGTATGTAAACCACAAAACGACTACTTTACTCTACCTCATCACTGTTTATGACCTGATATAAACTTTTGTAAGCCATCTGTCTACTTGAACTCTTTGAAAACCATGAGTAGGTTTCGCTTATTATGAATTCAAGCGATTCTGGCAATGTTCTCTTACAAGCTGCCAATTAACCGCCAATTGCACTGAATGGCACACGCACTTTATTAAAATTAAGGACGGTACGGTCTTCCTTAACTACACATAAACACTTTTTTTCTTACCCACCATGACGTTTGCATTGTGTGTACCGATTCCAATCAAGTTTTTGATTGGGAGTTTCCGTTTACACAATTCTGCCAATACACAGTTTGATATAGTGACCGCGTCTCCATTTTCAAGTGGAATCAACGACAACAATGTTGATGTTATGTCCATACGTTGATGGCTATAATAAATTATGGCGACACCTGAATAACAAATATAATAATTAAAATTGTTTAAGTACTAAAGATGGTTTCTTACCTAGCATCTTATTAATGCAAACATCAGTTGACTCGTCTATTAATAAGCTATATTTGCTTTCCCCTATATCATTTTTTAGCTCCTCCTCGAAGTGCGGGGCCAAAACATTTTTAATTATCCCTGTGCACTTGATTCTGTGCAATTTTATATATTTTGCGTCAAATTGCAACCCACACAACTCGCTCAAATGGTCAACAGTGTTGATTGCGCAATGTTGTGCACAAAAAGTGCAAGTGCCGCTTCCTGTATGCCAGTTACATTGCTTGCCAGAGGTTTAAACTGAATTTTATTTACCTGTGCGGCTCTGCCCTTTGCACATGTTTTTTTGTACGACCATGCGCGCGAAGCTAGTCAATTTTGGAATTTAACGTGCACTTGCAATATTTGCAATATGCCTTGTCGGAGTCCTTGGGATCCCGACACATCCAATTCTTTAATTCCGATTCGTTCATCCACGAATCGCGGAACTTTTGTTTATAAATTTCTTTTGGCATGATCAAGCTTCAAAAATTATAACGCAAATAAGCAATATTCGATAGGTCTGATATCGATTACACGTTTTTGAACAGGGCTGCATCGCATTGAAAAGTGATGGGTGAAGCCAAAAAATCAATTTTCAAGCGATACCATGCAGTTCAAAATAACAAATTGTATATGCGACTCAGAAATATGCTATATTCGACTCGCAGATAGACAGCCGCTACGTAGGCACGCTCAGATACGTCACAAAAACCATGATACTGGATTCTGGCTTGAGGCTGGAACAGCACCCACCGAAGCACACTAATCTGGAAAAACTGGGGAGAAACTCTTGCCATTGATTACTTTTCCTTTGGAGTGTGCTCCTGCAAGTACGTCATCGACGTACATGCGTTCGGAGATGACCTTGCTGGCGAGAGGCAACCGGGATCTCACGTCAGGTGCGAGTTGTTTGAGAACTCTCAGAGCCAGGAAGCGAGCACAGTTTACTCGGAATGTGACGGTGCTTAGCTTGAAGTCACCGATGTGGCCGTCAGGCCAGGATGCATTATATTAGCGTGTGCTTTGGATCAACACGACTTTGGCGATACCCTTGCAAAGTCTCGATCACGTACTCATAAGAAGTATAAAAAGAAAATCTCGTACTCGTAAAAATATCGACGTAAATGCATCGATGTTGCAAGGTATTGGGTATTTATATTTGGGTAAAATGTTTTTTAACTCTGGGATATATTTTATTACATATATTAAATAAAAGTACATTTTAAATTACTAGTACAAGGAATACATTATGTTAAATATTCGACTCCTCTTCCGCACAATAGCCTAAAAAAAATAAGTTTGTCAAGCCTTTTCGGTGAAAGTCGGCTGCGAGTTTTTGCAATAGTACTTACAGCTTTCGAGAATAAACGCTCAGAGGGCACAGATGTCGCTAGAATTCCCAAATACTTTTGAGCTAGGTTGTAGGGATATACAACTTTCATATTATCCCATTGTTTTAAAGGGTCCATAGAAAGTGGTAAAACGTGGGTAGAAAGATAGCTACCTACTTTGTCCGAATCGGCGTTCCAATTGTTAAATTATTTTTTTATTACGTCATCTATGACTGCCGTACCATCGTCGTCCGCACATACATAAACATGTTCATTATTAATCTGGTTCTTCAAGGTATTCACCATCGGCATAATTTTACTTATTGTCATATATTGTTCAGCCGACAGCTATTTGGTAACATTCTCTAGTGGTCTCAAAATTCTTATCAATTTTTTAATTTTTTGAATTTCAACAGTTGAGAGTGTGGGCGGTGCTTTAACATTCAACAATAAAACTTGATAAACTACGGGCGCTAGCTCAATAAATATCTGGGGCATATAATAAATGTCTTTACATTCAAAATCAGTTTAAGAGGTTGAGAGCGATCTTGCCGTTCTCTTAACGCATAACACTGCACTGTGGCAATTACACTGCTCTTGAAGAATTTTAAAATGTCTCGGATTTTGCTTATTAATAAATTGAAGTCACTAACTGACAATGCGGATGTAGCGATAAGATTGATTGTATGGGCAAAGCAAGACAAGTGTTTGTTTTCCCCAATAAAAATTTTTGTAGCTGCTGTCATGTTAAGTCAGTTGTCTGTCACTACCTCAGTTAGTTTTTCGGTATTGATGTGCATGCTTGTAGAAATTTCATTCAATTTTACAGCTATCATTACGCAAATAATGAGCAGTAACTCCTTAATACTGGTAAGATTCACCAAACATCATATGTTACCTGAGCTATATTTTCCAATGTGCATTGCATTTTACAATGCATTACAGTATACAAACAAGTAAGAAAGTTACAGTCGGGCATTACCGACTGCGGAATACTCATTCACATCCCATCAGCAATTTAGTAGCTAAGTATTGTAGAAAATTAAGCATTTCCGATTTACTACGCCCCTACTGGGCGTAGACACCTCATTTATGGTAATTTCTTAGAACGGGCTAACGGTACCCAAATTGCAGAATTTGAATGCTTACGCTTTAAATTTGTGAAAATTACACGGTATTTTTCGATATGTCACATTCCTAAAGAGGCGTAAAAATTATGTTTCGGTCATCGATAGAGGAGGTTACTAGTAACTTAATTATCCAATAAACTGTAGGAGATATAAACTTTTGCGGTTTTCAACGCACCCTGTGGGCGGACATACATATATCCGTCGAAGCTTTTTGGTCTTGGGTGTTCAGCCCGAGTACATATACAAAATTTGAGGTCTCCAGCATAATAGTGAATTAAAAAAATCACTATATCTTCAGGTCTG